TTGAAGAGTATATATCCATGGATTCGTGAAGTACATTACATATGTAGCAATATCATTTCAGTCCATGAATTCCTACTTAAAGATACATTATGTAAGATTTAGATAAAGAGCTAGCCATTCTTGCTATAAAAGTTCCAAAATAGATGATGTAAAATAAATAATTTAAAACATATTAGCCTTTGAACGATTGACAAGACGTGTCCATCTTCTTTCAATTTATCAAAATTCAGGAATATGACCGTCTAGAGGCTAAAGTTAATATCCGATTGACTTTAAAGTGTTTAAGGTCATGAGATGAAGCATTCTATTGATTTTCAGCGATTTCCGATAATTAATGTCAGAGTTATGGCCCTTGATCACTTGCTAGTGTATACTAGTTCAATCTGAATTTTCGGTCAGACGGGTGACGTGAAAACAAATTTAATATATTATCATGTAGTTGGCAAAATAATCTGTCCGAAATCTCACCAAACACCATTCATTTAAATGAATACCGCGAATTTGTACTGAATTTACTACGGGTTAAAACATTTTGTCTGGAGCCACTCTGCTTTCTGCGATATTTTTAAGGCATCGAGTATTATATGTGAATGCACCTGCAACGGTCTGCTTGGATGATTGAATTTCTGGTCGGATTGAACAACTCAAAGATTGGTTAACTGACGAATTACAATAGCAGAAAAACGCAATTGCGGCGGTTAAACTTTCAAAATTTTTTTCGGTGAGGGCGAAGACCCAAAACACCACGAAGTCCGATTTTTCTGGTCACCGCTCCGTGAACTGTAACTGTGTAAGCGATTGATTGGTTGACTGGAATTCAGGTCATTCACCTAAGTTAGGCTACATTTTGCACCACTGGCTGGAATAGTAGGACAACGCGTTTATGTGGCCGTCAAATTTTTCCAATTTTATTGCGGAGGCCCCTACACGGTAAGCTCAGAACCTCCAGCGCTTCGTCAGGATTTTATTAGGATACTTCATTTCTGCCCCCTAAACAGGGCCCACACGCCTACGCTGTTCTGCGAGGATGATACGCCTATGATTTGTGTGAAGGGTATGGGTTGTGGGGGTGGGGAGGGAGTGGTAGATTCAAGTACGTACCTCTGTTACAACTGTTCTTGTGTAGTCATCATAAACTCTAGAACAAGTTGAGTTGTCATCATTGCTACAATATTTATACGTCACATTATTCCTGCTATTATTAGACATGACGTCATCAACACACCACCAATCAGTGACGTAAGCACCATATGACATAATCAGCATGTTGTATCCAATGGCTACCTTAGGAACCATTACCATGAAGATCACCAAAATCTGGAACTTCCCGAAAGATCCGATTTCTTCAATAAGCTGATCGAGGTGCATGGTTGCTGTTACTCGTCAATACGCAAATAGTTCGGAAGTTCGTTAGCTACGCCTAGCTTTTCAAACGTAAAAAGGGAAGACAATGCGTGTCCTGACTCAGTCTCCCAAGAAGAGTTGTCTTTCCTTGCAGTTCGAATGCTAGATAAATATTCCGACTCGTCAATACGAAAATACAAAGGAATAAAGCGAATAAAAAGTGTCACGTATCCTGTCACATCAAACAATGAACAAGATTTGTCGAATTCCAATCTACTGATGCTTTTCAACAAAGGCCAAAAAACATTTGAAATCCGGAAAGACAACTAGCAAAAAGTTTAAACATCCTACCAGCAATTTCGCTCTAATGAGCATAAATCGGGTTTGTCTGCGATATCACTCTAGGTGGAAGCGAACGTTAACCCGATGTCAAGGTAAAATCAACAAATCCGTTCTAATACCAGATCACAAAATAAGCAGACGATAATCGCGTAAAACTCCACACACGTACCCTGGTGTTACAATTAAAGATCACTACCCCTTTACTTGAAGCCACCCAAACAATGATGTGTCGATGACGTGGATGACATAATGATATGTCACGTTGCGTCTGGATCATCTCAAGATAAAACTGGAAACATTAGGCCTACCTAATTAAAGAGCCGTTTTAACTACCACTTTCTTGCATCAACAGCGCTAATGGCGATGGGTATACGCAATGCGGTGATCGATAGTACAATTTCCGTTATATACGGGGCACCGGGGTTTTGTTTTTGTCCCGTCCGAACGACTAGGATAGCTAGCATGAAGGTCGCGGCTTCGCTCCCGGTGTTGGCAGAGAAAGTTTATCGTGGATTTTTCGGCGTGGTTTCCCTCTTGTCAGTGGTGCAGGATGGCGGGGGCCTAACAACGGCAGCTGTCTAGTCGTTCGGATGATACCAAAATCCGAGGTCCCGTGTACACATTGGCGTGCACGTAAAAGATCTCCTTGCAGTTGGAATTCGATATAAGAGTAGGCCATAGCAGAGCAGTAGGACGTTAAACCCCATTTCATTTCATTGTAATATACTATTCAAAAAAAGTAGGGGATATTTGATTTTGGGGGCATAATACTAAAATATGCAAATGACTTCGAAAAAAGTCACTATAGAACCTAACAGAAGAAACATTTCCAGTTACATGTGACGCCCAAACGCACCAATAGCTACCGCATGGAATGCAGGTGATGCTTGGGATCATCATGGGGGTCCAACCCAAGATTTGCACGACTCTGACTTTGAATGTTACAGTCATTGTGGCATTGAATTCCAGGGTGGAAACATCAGTTTAATTGTTTTAGTGACCAGAAAACAAATTTTGATATGCGTCGGCTTACCCAAAATGAAAGGTTACGTGCCCTTGGCATGCTACAGATCGGCACAACACAGGCGGTTGTGGCGCGGACGATGAATGTTTCTCAGTCTGTCATAAGCAGGCTATGGTCCAGATACCGTGATACACAATCTGTACAGGACAGACCACGCTCAGGTCGACCAAGGGCGACAACTCAAGCCCAGGATCGATTTATCCGTACCTTGGCCTTGAGAAATCGTGTCATCACAGAAAATCAGATCAGCGCTCGTCTTCAAACAGACACTGGTGTGAGAGTGAGTGGCCAGACGATTCGGAATCGACTGCATAGGGGTCACCTTCGCGCCCGACGTCCTCGCGTGATCCCTTGTTTGAGAGATCATCACATTCAGGCAAGACGTCGTTGGTGTAGGGATCGTCAACACTGGGATAATCGACGCTGGAGCAATGTGATGTTTTCAGATGAGTCAAGGTTCACTGTTGATGTTTTGGACAGACGTAGGAGGGTGTGGCGTCGTCGAAACGAGCGCTTCCAAGACGTTAACGTCATCAGACTTGATCGATTTGGGGGTGGTTCTGTTATGGTGTGGGGAGGCATCACTGTTGCTGGAAGAACGGCTTTACATGTTGTTGCAGGGCGTGTTACAGGCCAGTACTACCGGGACAACATCTTCCAGGATGACAACGCAAGATGTCATAGGGCCAGGATCGTTACAGGTTACCTCCAACAACAGAACATCACCACATTACCTTGGCCAGCACTGAGTCCCGACCTCTCCCCCATCGAGCATGTCTGGGACATGCTTGGACAGAGGTTACGTCAACGTCAACAACGTCCTGCCAATGTCCAAGAACTTGCTGCTGCGTTGCAACAGGAATGGGACAATCTGGACCAAAATGACCTTAGACGTCTCATTAGGAGTATGCCACGTCGGATCAATGCTTGTTTGGCAAACAGAGGAGGATTTACCCGTTACTGACTTGGTTGTGATGCTGTGGTAACTTTGCTGTTTGACCCCGGGTATCATTTTACCCTTATAATGGTCAGTCTGTGCCTTACTTAGTCTAACGATCATTTGGAATAAATCGATGAATGTGAACTTCATTTCATTTTGTCATTTGTTTCTTCGTCAGTTTCATTAGGTGACTTTAATAACACTTAAAAATCAAATATCCCCTACTTTTTTTGAATAGTATAATAGTTACATATAGGGTACCGAGGTTTGTCGAATGGGGTTTTCATCTCATCCAGGCGACTAGACAGATTTTCAATACCTATATACAGTCTTTACTCTTACTTTGTCAGATCTTTAAATGTATGCAAATATTACACCATAGCATAATTTATTATTCAGCAGGAACATGAATTATTTCCGCTCTGCTTTACGCATATGTTATAATTATGTTGTGTGCTTTTAATTTTTTTCATTATTCAACCTTTCTCTTATCCACAAAAACATAAAACTAAAATATTTAAGTTCCATAAGTAAACTCAGTGACTAAAACGTAGGTTTGGTTAAGCCTAGCTTACAACCCACCGTGAGTGTTTTGAAACGCATGGTTTATAGGGTTTAATAGCTCGCAGACCAGCCGCAAGAAACCGGTTGAAGAGTTTGTATGTGAAGGACTAAAAGTCTCTAAGGTCAGTCAGCGGTCTTCTACGGTGCCGAAAGCAGGCAAGTGAAGCGTAAGTTTACTAAAATAGAGATTTTGGCAAGCGGAATATTCCCATCCGTATCACGTATCCGTTTAGTCAATGTAGTTTTAGAGTTTTGGCAGATTTTCGCGTCGCGTACGTATGCGTCACTGAGTTGAGCTTAGTTCTATTAAAGCATCACCACCAGTACTAGTCAAGTGCCTAGCCTACAAGTCGCTGGGCTATTAAAAAAGAAAATCTAATGTCGAATCTAATTACAAATCTTCGATTTCGATTCGACAGCAATATCTGAAAGTTTATATCCTTTTACCATAGAACAAAATCATTTACGGATTTGCAAGGTCCCACCTCCCTAAATTTAGTAGCATGCAGACAGACAGGAAAAGTATGTAAATTTCGAGAAAACCCCATCAAAAATAATGATGAAATTCCAGTCTTTATCGTGGTTAAAATCACATCAAATATACACCTTCGTGTTCTGGGATAGCCTTCACATAGATTCATAAAAACGCTTTGAAACACCATTTCAGCGTCTAAAAGCAGCAAAAAGACGGTAAAAAGACGACAATGTTATACGGAAAGCTGAAGCTGTTCGATACGTGCTGTCGTATCCGTATGTCGTATTACGTCAGTCGGCAAACCTCGGCAGATTCCGTTACTCTACATCTAGCCTCGGCTGTATGACGGTAAGTGATATGTACATACGCCTATACAATTGCGATGCGGCACCGGCTTACTTATTAGGAAAAACATGTTAAAAAGAAGTACCAAAGTTGCGTCGTTCGAAGCGTGTGTAGAATTTTCAGTGCAAATTAAGTTGTCCTTGTTTGAAGAAAATCGGATAAACTTGGAAGAAAAACCGCTTCAGCCTTTGAAATATATGTATGATAAAACATTCTTCAAAGGCGCGTCGTCATGGCAGTTGGTAATTCGGAAACTTGAAGTAGTTCCAATGGCGGACTTCGTAATACAGCCGAGGCTAGATGTAGGGTACTGGAATCTGCTGAGGTTTGCCGAGTGGTATTACGTATGAGAAATACACACACATTGATGACGTCACACGCAAAATCCATACGGATACGCGATATGGACCAGGAATTTCCGCTTGCCCAAAGTCTCTATTGCCTCCCGTAGACTGTCCGTATCAGCAGGTACGGCAGGTTGTGGGTTAAGCTGTAATCTGAAGATCACCTGTTCGACCCCGCTGTTGGCCGAGAAAGTTCATCCCGAGTCGTCCCCCTTGTCAGTGGCACAGGACGGAGATCCTAGCAAGGGACATAATAAAGCTTAACGCGGTTTCACGTGAGTCCCAGTGCACAAGGAACCGAACCAAATACCTAGTAAAGAGTCAGAAAGTGACACCGGCACAACTTCTATCCTACAACTGGGGGTTGGGTGGCTGTATGGGTAACGCGTGCGCGTGAATTCACAAGGTCTGTCATTGAGTCAAGTAACGTGGTTTCGATTCCCGGCTTGTGCGTGACAATGCGAATTATTGAAATAAAATTGAATCATGTGTTAGTCCCGAAATGACCTAGTTTGTGTCGAGTGGACGTTAATCCCTCTCTCTACGTCCAATCAGAGCCTTGATTTGCTTCCCCACATTCCCTGTCTTACAGTCAACACTGGTTAATCTTATAGGGTTAGGAAAATATGACGTCCAGATTCTGAAATCACTATTAGTATTAAAACTATTCTAATGATAACAAACAAACAGTTAGTAGTCCGGTGGCTGAAGGGGGTGGTGGGGGAGATCCCACCCGAGGTTGGGAGGGGGGGGGGTGGAATCCCACGCGATCTGTGATATGAGACAAAGTTTTTCTAAACCATTTTTCTTGCTTAGATTTGGAATCTGGGTGGTGATCAGGCGTTTGACCCCCCACATCTCGAAAAACGCCCCCTCAAACGCCTGAACACCTCACAGATTCAGGTCTAGAAAAACTTGGTCTCATAAATTCACAGCTCGGATGGCCACCCTCCCCCCCTTCCTCGCTTTCAGCCACCAGTCTATTGATAAATCATAATTTAGTACTCTCGTCATTTTCAGTTTTTCCCATCTCCGTTGATTTTCCTTCCATTTTATATTTATCCGAGGTCTTCTGTTCGTTTTGAGTTTTTGTTGTAGGTTCATCATCTGTTCTGTCATGACCTGGTAGAATATCTTCCATGGCTAATCCTAGAGTTTCCGGTAGAAATAACCTGGTGAGAACCCCACTTAATCCTAATATTACAATCACTATAATATATGGTACCATTTCATTATCACTCTGTAAATATACAATACAATCATCCTTCATCCCTTGACTACCTATCATACCCCATCCCTTGACCACATATCATACCTCATCCCTTGACCACCTATCATACCTCATCCCTTGACTACCTATCATACCCGATCCCTTGACCACATATCATACCTCATCCCTTGACCACCTATCATACCTCATCCCTTGACTACCTATCATACCTCATCCCTTGACTACCTATCATACCTCATCCCTTGACTACCTATCATACCTCATCCCTTGACTACCCATCATACCCCATCCCTTGACCACCTATCATACCTCATCCCTTGACTACCTATCATACCTCATCCCCTGACTACCTATCATACCTCATCCCTTGACTTCCTATCATACCCCATCCCTTGACCACCTATCATACCTCATCCCTTGACTACCTTCATACCTCATCCCTTGACTACCCATCATACCCCATCCCTTGACTACCTATCATACCTCATCCCTTAACCACCTATCATACCTCATCCCTTGACCACCTATCATACCTCATCCCTTGACCACCTATCATACCTTATCCCTTGACTACCCATCATACCTCATCCCTTGACTACCCATCATACCTCATCCCTTGACTACCTATCATACCTCATCCCTTGACCACCCATCATACCTCATCCCTTGACTACCTATCATACCTCATCCCTTGACCACCTATCATACCTCATCCATTGACTACCCATCATACCTCATCCCTTGACTACCTATCATACCCCATCCCTTGGCCAACTATCATACCTCATCCCTTGACCACCTATCATACCTCATCCCTTGACTACCCATCATACCTCATCCCTTGACTACCTATCATACCTCATCCCTTGACCACCTATCATACCTCATCCATTGACTACCCATCATACCTCATCCCTTGACTACCCATCATACCCCATCCTTTGGCGAACTATCATACCTCATCCCTTGACCACCTATCATACCTCATCCCTTGGCTACCTATCATACCTCATCCCTTGACTACCAATCATACCCCATCCCTTGACCACCTATCATACCCCATCCCTTGGCCAACTATCGTACCTCATCCCTTGACCACCTATCATACCTCATCCCTTGGCTACCCATCATACCTCATCCCTTGACTACCCATCATACCTCATCCCTTGACTACCCATCATACCTCATCCCTTGACTACCCATCATACCTCATCCCTTGACTACCTATCATACCCCATCCCTTGGCCAACTATCATACCTCATCCCTTGACTATCCATCATACCCCATCCCTTGACCACCTATCATACCCCATCCCTTGGCCAACTATCATACCTCATCCCTTGACCACCTATCATACCTCATCCCTTGACTACCCATCATACCTCATCCCTTGACTACCCATCATACCCCATCCCTTGACCACATATCATACCTCATCCCTTGACCACCTATCATACCTCATCCCTTGGCTACCTATCATACCTCATCCCTTGACTACCTATCATACCTCATCCCTTGACCACCTATCATACCTCATCCCTTGACTACCTATCATACCCCATCCTTTGGCCAACTATCATACCTCATCCCTTGACCACCTATCATACCTCATCCCTTGGCTACCTATCATACCTCATCCCTTGACTACCCATCATACCCCATCCCTTGACCACCTATCATACCCCATCCCTTGGCCAACTATCATACCTCATCCCTTGACCACCTATCATACCTCATCCCTTGACTACCCATCATACCTCATCCCTTGACTACCCATCATACCTCATCTCTTGACTACCCATCATACCTCATCCCTTGACTACCCATCATACCTCATCCCTTGACTACCTATCATACCTCATCCTTTGGCCAACTATCTTACCCCATCTCCCTCAAACGTGACGCCGTAACCTATACTCGAATTATTATGTCAACAATATTTTAACAATAAAAAGTTTCGAACACACATTCGAATATTTGAAACCAAATCTTTTACCTACCGCAGCAAATACAAACGGTGCTACTATTCCACCAACATGAGCCGCAGTGTTCGCTGCACCATATCCTAAATTCCTGAAATAAAACCACAACCTTGTATTATAATATTGTCAATATCTCCCAATTTTAAAGGGGATAAATCTCTATTTTTAAAATCTAAAATGGACGAGAATATGTTACAAAGCAAATGTTAATGTAATATAAACTGATTTACATTAAATTCTTTTTAAAACTTTTTTTTTAATTCCTTATCATTAACTTCTTTTTAAAACCCTTTTTCTAATATTCAAAAAAAGTAGGGGATATTTGATTTTTAAGTGTTATTAAAGTCACCTAATGAAACTGACGAAGAAACAAATGACAAAATGAAATGAAGTTCACATTCATCGATTTATTCCAAATGATCGTTAGACTAAGTAAGGCACAGGCTGACCATTATAAGGGTAAAATGATACCCGGGGTCAAACAGCAAAGTTACCACAGCATCACAACCAAGTCAGTAACGGGTAAATCCTCCTCTGTTTGCCAAACAAGCATTGATCCGACGTGGCATTTTGGTCCAGATTGTCCCATTCCTGTTGCAACGCAGCAGCAAGTTCTTGGACATTGGCAGGACGTTGTTGACGTTGACGTAACCTCTGTCCAAGCATGTCCCAGACATGCTCGATGGGGGAGAGGTCGGGACTCAGTGCTGGCCAAGGTAATGTGGTGATGTTCTGTTGTTGGAGGTAACCTGTAACGATCCTGGCCCTGTGACATCTTGCGTTGTCATCCTGGAAGATGAAACGGCGGCCATGACGTCGTGCGAACGGCACAACATGGACTGCCAAGATGTTGTCCCGGTAGTACTGGCCTGTAACACGCCCTGCAACAACATGTAAAGCCGTTCTTCCAGCAACAGTGATGCCTCCCCACACCATAACAGAACCACCCCCAAATCGATCATGTCTGATGACGTTAACGTCTTGGAAGCGCTCGTTTCGACGACGCCACACCCTCCTACGTCTGTCCAAAAAATCAACAGTGAACCTTGACTCATCTGAAAACATCACATTGCTCCAGCGTCGATTATCCCAGTGTTGACGATCCCTACACCAACGACGTCTTGCCTGAATGTGATGATCTCTCAAACAAGGGATCACGCGAGGACGTCGGGCGCGAAGGTGACCCCTATGCAGTCGATTCCGAATCGTCTGGCCACTCACTCTCACACCAATGTCTGTTTGAAGACGAGCGCTGATCTGATTTGCTGTGATGACACGATTTCTCAAGGCCAAGGTACGGATAAATCGATCCTGGGCTTGAGTTGTCGCCCTTGGTCGACCTGAGCGTGGTCTGTCCTGTACAGATTGTGTATCACGGTATCTGGACCATAGCCTGCTTATGACAGACTGAGAAACATTCATCGTCCGCGCCACAACCGCCTGTGTTGTGCCGATCTGTAGCATGCCAAGGGCACGTAACCTTTCATTTTGGGTAAGCCGACGCATATCAAAATTTGTTTTCTGGTCACTAAAACAATTAAACTGATGTTTCCACCCTGGAATTCAATGCCACAATGACTGTAACATTCAAAGTCAGAGTCGTGCAAATCTTGGGTTGGACCCCCATGATGATCCCAAGCATCACCTGCATTCCATGCGGTAGCTATTGGTGCGTTTGGGCGTCACATGTAACTGGAAATGTTTCTTCTGTTAGGTTCTATAGTGACTTTTTTCGTAGTCATTTGCATATTTTAGTATTATGCCCCCAAAATCAAATATCCCCTACTTTTTTTGAATAGTATATAAGAGTAGGCCGTAGCACCGCTGTCCGAACAAAATTTCCCTCATAGCACACTGTATGGCGTATGCCTGTCTTCATTAGCCCAGTCAGAGCAGAACAGTAAGGCGTTAAACCCAATTTCATTTCATTTTATTTTTTATTCGTCGAAATACGTGAGCAGTTCAAGCTGAATGGTAGTCGCTGGTGCCTGATCAGTCCGGTCTATATTGGAAGTACGGTTTGACCATAGATCGCATATAACAGTACAGTTCTACTATGGTTTGACATTCAATGTTTTGGTTGGAATGGTCATGTCTGCAATGTCGAATATTCTGGACAATACTGCAACAATTTGACATTTTTAATGCGATGCAGAGATAGTAAGTTTTAATTGTATTTGATTGTTAATTTTGTTTCATATTCTGTATATATTTGCCCACTATTCACATACCTGCACCATTTACTTGATAAAGACGAGTGTATCCTCGTCGAAACGTCGCTTAGTATCAAACTCAGTAATTGTGTATCCATAAAATTGTACCTTGTGTTAATATGTTCAAATATACAACTGGCGGTAGTTTTTTCTTTGATATCCATAGCAGTTATATCTCATAACAACCTGTCATGACGTCATCATGGGTTGATATATTCGTTCATATTAACCGCAGATGACGTCATGACAGGTTGATATTTCATATCAACCGCTAATGATGTCATCTCAGGTCGATATATTCGGCTCATATCAACCGCTGATGACATAGATGATCGAAATAAAACAAAAAACACAGAAATAAATTTTTATTCTTTTGACAATTAAAAATTGTTATGGTACAGTTTGTAACATTCCGGGCCGAAATAGACGGCGTACTTATCGATATACATGTATTTAGATCGGTTATCCATGTCTAAGACATGTCAGAATTTTCTTTTCGTCCACATTGCGATTATTTCTCCACACACTACAAGACTTGAAAGTATTTATCGCCCAAGAGTTCCTTTGTAAAGTATTTTTGGGTACAGTCCACTTAAAACAGTCGGTCAAATCCTTCTCTGAACATACCGAAAACCTTCAGTCATGGTTTACTGTCAGAATTCTTGGAAAAGAATGCCTTTTGGTCCAAATTTTCTGCAGGCTTTGGATAGATCCTCGTCGATATTTGCATTCACATCTATTCCATCGTCAATATGTTGGCTAAAAAGGATTGATTATTCGTCTGACTTCGTATTACTATCCATTTTGTTTTTGCTTTCAATTCAATAGTCCAAAATGGCGACGTATAAACAAAAATATGCACGTAATTGCACGTGATTACTTCGGTAATTTTGGCTATTTGGCGGAAACTATCGAGCAATTATCCAATCGTTGTTGCCTTTTAATGGAAGAGCCCATTAAATTTAAGGGTGAAATGGCGTTGTATATGTCGGATATAAACCTACTCTCCCTCGGATTGATATGGTAGAGAACGCTTGGGCTTCGCCCGCGCGTTCTCTTCCATATCAACCTCGGGTAGGTTAATATCCTATACATACTAAATGCCAATCAAAGAAAAAGTACTGCATTACCTTAATAGAAATTACCAGTATTGAGTTATCTCCCATTAGTGAAAACCGTAATAATTTATCCTTGTATTACATATAATTATCAGTTCTGATATATTTTATTTCAGTATTTCTCTAGCTGGCAGTTATTTTAACAGTTTGATGAAAACGCAGACAAGACAGAATAAAAATTAAAAGTCATCTCGTGCGCTATTATACCCGATTTACAATCTCAGCCGGAGATTTATTTATTTTAAAATCTTTTTATTGTTTATATACTTAAAACAACAAGAAACCCAAATGAAACGTTGATGTTGTCAAATTGGTATGGTGTGCGCTGGGTGTTTTGTCCAAGAGATTAATGGTGCGTTCCGCGAATTGGAAAAAATTTATGAACGCCATTTGCAAGCTGAATTTACAGAAACAAGATCGATGGATTGACTAAGTGGACGATAACCAGTGTTGTCACGCCAGAACGTAAACATCCGCACGCACACGCTCACATGGAAACGGTCTCATTGTATTGCTTTATACCGACCTTTCCGCCGGTGGAAACGTTGACATGGAAAGCGGACCTTAAATACACGTGTATTACCTGATGACTGTAGGATAACTTTCATTGGTCATTGTAATAAGCCCCGCCCAAGCCTCGCTTGTAAATATTCTAGCAGCCAATGACAGGGCAGTAATAATATTTCCCCTTTGACCACCAGTCACTGAAATAACAGAAGCTTATTAGAAGCCTGCGATATTAACTCGGTCGAAGCGGATGTTAAATAAAGCTATTTCACACATATAAGCCAATAGTATAGAAGCCTGTAAGTAAAAGTTCCTTTTGGAACGGTCTCTGGTCGGACGATGTCCACTGACACTTCCTATCTGTCCCTCTGGCTGCAATTAACTCCACATAAAAAGGACGGGTTTATCTGATATATATTGACCCCGCATAAAGGCCAGGTTTATCTAAAAAAAAATATTGACCTCTCATTAAGGACGGGATTATCTAATATATATTACAGATGATTTACCTGTAACACCTTTCCATGATAATATATATTACAGATGATTTACCTGTATTTTGAATAATAATAACACCTATACATGACAATGTAGCACCAGCAAACATAATGGTCGCCACTTTTCTTCTACCAAATCTACAAATAATGTGCATTTCTTATAGATCCATAAGACTGGAATATCCGTGTCGACTCCAGATTGAGTTATCTGCCCATGTACCCATGCTAATCACGGTTATTCTTCCCATACTAGACCCCAAGTTATCCGCCCCATATACCATGACGCTAATCTAAGTTAACCATGCTAGAGATTGACAGTGAAACGTGCTCCATATATTCATTTTAAACCAAGTTACACACTCGGACCTCCAAACATTTATATTAAGCCAAGTTATCCACTCCATATATTTATGTTAAGCCAAGTTATCCACTCCATATATTTATGTTATGCCAAGTTATCCACTCCATATATTTATGTTCAGCCATGTTATTCGCTCCATACATTTATGTTAAGCCATTTTATCCGCTCCATAAAGCCAGAGAGAGAGAGAGAGAGAGAGAGAGAGAGAGAGAGAGACATGGTTCAATTTATTTCAATAATTCGCTTGGGGGTCTTTAAGCAATGTGAGAGGTTAGACACGCGACTCTAAGCCTTGTTACGTGCAAGTTCGGGATCGAAACCAAGCCAATTAACTCGATGACAGAGCTTGTGATCTGAAGTGCACGCCACCCAACCGCCTTACCTCTGACGTAGCAACTCACCTATTCATGGCATATATTACTGGTATAAACACAGGAAACTCTAAAATATTCATAAGGAACATATTCAAATAAAAACCTCCAGAAAATTTACCCACACCAAAGGCAAAACCATAATATGAAGCCGATAATGACCACCTGAAATTAAAATATAGCCTTGCACCTGTTATCGCTCTCTACTACATCCTCTAAGGATAACTGCTTTTCTTATTTTGTGTCATTCTTCCAATCAGTGTTACGGATCCCCCTTAACAAAGGTAGCAAAGATCACTTTGGTAAAATCATATTTGGAATGTGTAGTTCTATCACATATGTAATATTGGTGAACACCAACATTGTCGTTTAGAATCTATATTTAACTTGTATTCTTGCCTGTTTGGGCTATTATTATACATTCCCACGAAATGAAATAAAATGAAATGGTGTTTAACGTCCTACTGTTCTTCTCCGACAGGGCTAATGAAGACGGCCATACGCCATACAGTGTGTTATGAGGGAAATTTTGCTCTGACAGCGGTGCCACTATCTACTCTTATATCGAATTTGGGATATTTGGTAGATATATGGACAGTAGAGACTCAATCTTACTAGAAATTACAGGAGACCCCGAAAAACACTCTCGGGCGCCCACAGGACAAACATTTAAGGTTCATTGTCTGCTCGAGTGACGTAAATTTATACACGGGAAGGCACCTTTAAAGTTCTCTATATTAGAATACGTACAGTTTGACTCACCATACTAAATGAGTTATTATCGTATGTTTAGCCATTTTCCATCCCCTATATAAATCTATATAAGAATATTTCTTCCCGCCTTTCGTCTTCTCTGTCTCCTCCTGACTCAGTTCAATCAACATTTCTCTGGTTTTATCTGGTTTAATTCTACCGTTCATCATCGCCACTCGTTCTATGACACTCTCAGCTTCACCAATCTTTCCCTTAACAGCCAACCACCGGACACTCTCTGGAACAATACTAAAATACAGTCAAGTTTGTTTATAACATTTAATATGGGGACTGGTTTCATTTTTACGTTGTATGTGTGTAACGTTATAGTATGGCGACTGAACTCATTTTAACGTTATATCAGTGTAACGTTATAGTATGGCGACCGAACTCATTTTAACGTTATATCAGTGTAACGTTAAAGTATGGCGACCGAACTCATTTTAACGTTATATCAGTGTAACGTTAAAGTATGGCAACTGAACTCATTTTAACGTTATATCAGTGTAACGTTTACGTAATATGGGAATTGGGCTCATTTTAACGTTATATCTGTGTAACGTTATAGTATGGCGACTGAACTCATTTTAACGTTATATCAGTGTAACGTTATAGTATGGCGACTGAACTCATTTTAACGTTATATCAGTGTAACGTTTACGTAATTTGGGAATTGGGCTCATTTTAACGTTATATCTGTGTAACGTTATAGTATGAGGTCTGGATTTATTTTAACGTGTATCAGGGTAACATTAAGCAAAATGTGGTAAAATTACCATCTATCGGAAAGGATATACGTGTGAACCACTCTAGTAACATTTTCGGGTACCATAGTTTTTTCGATGTCTATTTTGGGTTTGCCTCTTGCTGTGTGTGGTGGCGTCTTCCTGCACGTAATAATGAAATTAAAACTGGATACTTACAACCAACCCAATAAGAACGGTACCGTACTGACTCCAACAGCGACATGAACGTACGTCCAATCGTGCATCAACCAGGACGCAAGAACTAGAAAGAAAACTCCTGTCGCCCAGAACGGAATAACCGTCAACGAAGGTCTCCATTTGTATCCCAGAAATTCTACTGGGAACATGCTGACGACCAGATATGACCCAATAATTGCTCCAATCAGACTGCGCATGACTGTAAAGGCCTGCCATGACGTAACAAATGCTATAGCAACAGTCAGAATAGAATGTAGTAATAGAGTCAAATAGAATGTCTTTTTACGACCAAACGTATCGGCTGATTGACCAGCTATCACAGCACCAACCAACACACCAGCCATTTGTATGGATGTTATAATAGGAGTTATCCATTTTCTTTCACACATCAAATCCCACTGGAATATACAAAAATAAATTGAATTGGGGTCTAACGCCTACTTTTATTTTCCATCAATCGAGATAATAAAGCCGGACATAAGAAATGTAATGTTTGCTAAGAAGGGACTCTTGTTTTTCGTCAAACCCAAACTGCACAGTTTTCCTTGACAGACCCCCATCCCTATTCAGCTAATACTGTCCAGTAAATAAACCAATAAAGTTTGCTTTTCATATTAGGGTAATATATATATTTTCTTAAAGGTGTTTGAATGACGTAATTTTTATAAAGAATCAATATTGATATAGATACTTATTACATATATATGAAGAACACGGGATATATACATGTCAAGGTCAAGGTCACAGTTGCATTCACGGACCAAAAAGTAGCGAGATATATTTTGAAAAACTGTCTGGAAATGATGCTTTCGAGAGAATATATCCCGAGTACCAAACTTCAAGAGACTATAGACCATCTAAAAGCTGCTCCCGCAAAACCAGGGTCTTGGTCAATTTTATAAAAAAAAATAGAGCTGGCAGCATATTTGAATAGTCCACGGCCTAAGCTTTCCAAAAATGCAATTTGTTTTAAGTTTGTTGTATCACCAGGGCCCTTATTCACGAAAACTTAAACTAAGTTACAACCGAAATTTTAAGAAATACTGCAACTTCATTGGATATATGCAAATTGATTTTACTGGTCAGCCAATCGAATTGCAGTATTTCTTAAAATTTCGATTGTATCTTAGTTTAAGTTTTCGTGAATAAGGGCCCAGGAGTTGAGTTCGGCTCATTCACAACAACAAGAAGGGATACAGATTATGCTTTTGTGACGTAGTAAAAATGAAGTTGTGGGACAAGCGCATGGTTTTATGTGCGAAGATATAGTTCCAATAAGGTATCAAAAACAATGTAAATTCAAGTCTAAAACAACCCACAAACTACTTGAGAACATTAATTTCTTTATTGGCCCTTGAGCCCACCATACTAGCAGACTCCTTCTCAGCCCACCCCTGGTTCCATTCTAACTGTGAGAGTGTGTTTGGGAGGTCATACTAGCAGACTCCTTCTCAGTCCATTCCTAGTTCTATTCTAACTGTGAGAGTGTGTTTGGGAGGTCATACTAGCAGACTCCTTCTCAGTCCATTCCTAGTTCTATTCTAATTGTGAGAGTGTGTTTGGGAGGTCGTATAATTTCCAATCGGCGAGTTTGACGTCACAAGAGTAAGACGTAAGGGTGGACTACCCAGAATTACAAATAGACGAATTATCCCAAGCAGCGAGATCATTCCAACCGACATAAACTCCCCAATCGACGGTATCCCTCTAACCGACATAAATTCCCAATCAGCGAGATCATTCCAACCGACACGAACTCCCCAATCGACGATAAACTCCCCAATCATCGGGATCATTCCAACCGACAAGATCTCCCCAATTGGTGTGATATCTCCAACCGACATAAGCTCCCCAAATGGTGAGATCTTTCCAACCGACAAAAACTCACCAACTGGCAGGATCTCTCCAACCGACAAGAACTCCCGAATCGCAGGATCTCTCCAACCGACATGAACTTCACAACCGTCGAGATATCTCTAACTCCCCAATCTGAACTCCCACATCGGCATGAACGCTTCAACCATATCTCCAGCCGACATGAACTCACCAAGCGGCCTGAAGTCAACCGGCGGGATGTGAATTGTGTGGAGGGTATGACTTGTGTGAAGGGTATGGCTTGTGGGGTGGGGAGGGAGTGGTAGATTCAAGTACGTACCTCTGTCACAACTGTTCTTGTGTAGTCATCATAAACTCTAGAACACGTGGAGTTGTCATCATTGCTACAATATTTATACGTCACATTATTTCTGCTATTATTAGACATGACGTCATCAACACACCACCAATCAGTGACGTAAGCACCATATGACATAATCAGCATGTTGTATCCAATGGCCAACTTGGGAACCATTACCATAAACATCACCAAAATCTGGAACTTCCCGAAAGATCCGATTTCTTCCACTATTTGATCCAAATGCATCTTGTCTGTTTTTCTTACTGAATTGATGATATATAACTTAATTAAATTACAGATCTATATTTCGTTTCGTTTTTTTATATCCACATTTACAGTTGATTGTGACTGGTTACCTACACGCTACGGTTCACCTATCTGATGTTACATACAACATCCACATTTACAGCTGATCGTGACTAGTTACCTACACGTTACGGTTCACCTATCTGATGTTACATACAACACAACATCCACGTTTATAACTGATCGTGAAAAGTTAGAGCACAATAATTATAAACAATCTGAAATAGTCCAAGTATTAACCTTTAATTATATGTCTTGCGATAACCCAGCAGCCTTGACAGATTAACGAACAATATTTATTGAACATGTACGACGACTAACTTGATATACTATATATACACTACTTTTATGAGTCAATCAAACGCGTATGAATTTAATTTTATTTAAATGAACCCTGCACTCTTCAGCCCAATGTACCGCGTATGAATTTAATATTATGAATTGTACTTTGTTCAACTGAATGTAGACTACAATGACGTGTTTATATAAATAGATTCTAATCTATTCAGAAAAATGTAAAATGCAATGACATATCATTTTGAATAAAAAAAATAACATGATTGTCCATAAAAAATATAGTTTTGCTCCCTATAGGGTTCCTTTGTGCTTTAATATACTATGAGGGAGCTCTAAACTCCTTTATAGAAAGGGTAAAACATTCTTATTGTGCACCGAAGGACATACGCCATACAGTATGCTATTGGGGAAATTTTACCTGGACAGCCACAGTACGACCTACTCTTATATTGAATTCCAACTACCAACGGTTCTTTTACGTGCACCCCACCCGAATGACTATACGTTGTCCCTTGCGCCCGGGCATCTATTTAGCGTCCCATCCGAACAACTGACAAGATTGAACTGTGCTATAGACTAATGAATACAGGTTATACTGTTACGGATTAATACGGATATTATAGAAAGATTATAGTTCGCCATGTTCCTGATTCAGCTTGATAAGTTGTACGGAGTTATAACGAGATCAAGCCTGATATTGAAGATGGTAGTCCGCAGATCTCCGTCATTTGTGCTTCCATAGAGAATTCAGTGTAAAAACAGTATTATAATAATAAAATCTTTAATGTAATATCATACGATAAATTCAAAATCATTTGAAATTCAATAGCATTTTAAAGTAAGAAATTTGGGTTAGTAAGTCACTCCTAAACTACAAAACATATACATTATACAAGTAGAATATAGGAAGAACATTATAATTACAAACACAATAAGATAGAATGCAGTTGCAAGTTATATATACACCAAAAATAAGTTGAATATTATGATTTCTTCAGTACTCAATATAGATGCGTTTTCAGTTTGATCTTAAAATTTTAAACATTTTTACACAAAAATGACATCTTTATATCAAAAGACAGATTGTTCCATAAAAGACGTACAGAAAAATGAAAAGTACGTTTCATGGATTCCGTTTTGCATTTCGGAAGGAAAAGAGATTGACTGGTCTGTGAACAGAGCAAGATATCAGTTTTGGAAATAAGAAATTTTTCAATAAAATAAGAGTTTAGATAAAGTGGAGTATTAAATGTAATAATTTTGATTGATAAGACAATTTTATTATAAAGAATCCTCTGTGTAAGGGTAAGCCAACCGAGTTTAGTAAATAAAGAGGTGGACGGAGTTTCAATTGGTGCATCAAGAATAATTCTTGCTGCCCTCTATTGTAATTTTAAAAGAATGTCTAATCTACTTTTCAAATATTGGTAGTATGTAACTATTATAAAACAAAATTCTTGTCCCGTAAGGTAAATGATCTTTTATCTTATTTAGGAGAAATACTTTTGATGCAAGTTTTTTTTTAGACATATGTGCTATCTGTGTTTCTTAATTAAGGTCTTGGTCAATTTGCATTCCAAGTAATTTTGCAGTAGTAACCATCTCGATTTTCTCACCATAAAGCAGTGATTCTCAACGAGTGTGCCGCGGCACACACAGATCTTCCTAAGTGTGCCGCGAAATTTTGAACTATTAAAACTATTCTAACGATACAAAAAACAAACATGTAGTTTTTGATAAATCATAATTGAGTACTCTCGCCATGTTCAGTTTTTCCTTTCTCCGCTGATTTTCCTTCCATTTTATATTCATCCGAGGTCTTCTGTCCGTTTTGAGTTTTTGCTGTAGGTTCATCATCATGACCTGGTAAAATATCTTCCATGGCTAATCCTAGAGTTTCCGGTAGAAATAACCTGGTGAGAACCCCACTTAATCCTAATATTACAATCACTATAATATATGGTACCATTTCATTATCACTCTGGAAATATACAATACAATCTATAATATATACCCTTCAAAAAAAAAAGAAAAAAAAGGGATATTCAGAAACAATACAAAACTCCGGAAATGCACTGCTGTTTTTATTAGAGGCAACCTGTGTATGCTAATAACATGACAATTTCCTACACATGAACATAAACAATTCATATGGGCGGCAGATCTGACGGCCCCATTTCACTCGCAAGGAGATACACCGTCAAAAGTGAAAATGGACGTTTTTGATTTTTGTCTTTATAATGAGTACTTGCTCCTCCAATCCTCAGACATTCAGCAATTCGTCGTGGCATGCTCCTAATCAACCGCCCAATCACGATTTGGGGCATTCTGGCCCACTCCTCTTGCAGTGTCACGGCCAATTGTTGCAGTGTTGTCGGTTAACGTCGACGTCGACGAACACGTCTCCCGATCAAATTAAACGTAACACACTAAAGCAAAGATACGCTAAACAGTAAATCTTATGCACGAGCCAATAGAAATGCTAACATGGATAGATAAATCAGTACGCGGCAGTTTTCATCAACCCTTCCTTGAAGTGTCAAATTTGACAATGAACCCCCTCCCACGTGTATGGCGATATTGCGTGTCGCATGTGCAGCTCAGCGGTTCTGTTGGGACGACCACCTATCATCACTCATCCCTTGACTACCTAGCATACCTCATCCCTTGACTACCTATCACCCCTCATCCCCCTAAAGCGTTACGCTATCACCTACAGGGTAATCCGCCACTGAGTGTCAAAATCATTGAAACTACCTACATTTTAATCAACGAATTATTATGTCAACAATAAAAAAAAATAATAATAAACTGTTTTATTTAAGGTTAGTGTGTTTTTTGTATATTATACTGAGCGCCATGGAAAACGCATCACTTTTTTCCCAAATATTTTATTATTAGGTGGTTTTGTATGTATAATATTATGCAATACTATGAACTATTGTTTCACACAATGCTCCCAAACGCAAAAAATATCGGCCCGTGTGCACAAAAACAAATTGCACGAGATACACATGAAAAACCCAATATTCACGTGGAGCATTGTGTGTGAGCCCTTTAAAAGCATGTTTTCAACTTAATGTGCAGTACATAACTGTGAAACGTCAATCTGTCGTAATTTGTTGTTGGACGTGTGAAGGATTCGAGCTAGAGGTGCCGAGGCTTACTGAAAATCAACGGAATGAAGCCATGGGAATGTCCAGGACTGACATGTCTACACGTGCTATTGCCAGACACTTCAATTGTCATCAGTCCACTATTGTAAGGTTGGTGGAACGTGTTCGAGTTACTGGATCAACACGTGACCGTCAACGTTCTGGTCCACAACGCGTTACAACTCAGGCTCAAGACCGCTACACCCGAGTTACTCATCTGCGCGACAGATTCCGCCCAGCGACTCGAACAGGTGCAGCAGTCGTTGGAAGACAAGGACCAGTAAGTGCCAACACCGTAAGATGTCGTCTAAGAGAAGTACGACTCAGTGCACGACGACCTTATGTTGGAGCTATCCTCAGGGATCATCACCGTCAGCGGCGTTTGATATGGGCTCAAGGACACCAGACATGGAGAAGAGTAGACTGGCAAAGTGTGCTCTTCAGTGATGAGAGTCGCTTTCATCTTTATCACGCTGATGGCCGTCAACGTGTGTGGAGACGTCTTGGGGAACGTCTTGCAGACTGCTGCGTCTTCGAAACGAATCGATGGGGTGGGGAAGTGTAATGGTGTGGGGAGGCTTCATCACCGGACCGCCCTACACATTTGCAGGGGTCGCGTTAATGCTGTAGCCTACCGTTATGATGTCTTGCAACCAATTGTTGTTCCGATGTTTCGCACGTTCGCACTTCAGCACTTCCAACAGGATAATGCACGTCCGCATACCGCCCGTTTTAGTATGGACTACCTGGCTGCTAACAACATCAATGTCTAACAACCTCATAGCACAGTGTATAGCGTATGCCCGTCTTCATTAGCCCAGTCATAGCAGAACAGCAGTACGTTAAACCCCATATCATTTCATTACAAACAATTCCAAACACCCAAAACACCAAGTAAAAAGGTCGAATATTTGGGACTAAATATTTTACTTACGGCGGCAAATACAAACGGTGCTACAATTCCACCAACACGAGCTGCTGTGTTCGCTGCACCATATCCTAAATTCCTGCAATAAAATGGTAACCTTGTATTATATCACAGAAATTGTAGATTTAAACACTTTTCTTCAATTCTAATCCAAAAAGACAAAAACATTTCAGTGCAAAATGTGAGAACAGCCATAAAGAGAGGCACTACATTACTAGAAATTACCAGTCTCACTCCGTATACCGTATTGAGTTATCTCCCATTAGAGAACACCGTAATGGTCTCAGACTAGCAATTATTTGCCCATTGACATCAATGTTAAATGGCTGTAACATCACAGGCTGTAAGTTTTTGCTTAGCGTGCCGTTGGTTCTAATCTTTATAGGCACAATGGGGATCACATTTGGCAACCTCCTCATCATAATTTTGTAGGGGGTTGACCGCTTAGATTTTTTGCTACGGGGATATGATGTTGACTGGGGTGAAAATCTCACTTCCGACACAATGATTGCTCTGCAGAAAGACACTTTACACCCTCTATTGCACATTTGATCCCTTTACTCCAGTGCTAGACCCAAACATCAGCCCAAAAATGCTGGAAGAAGGGAGAAAAAAATTAAGGGAAAAATTGTCTATTTATAACTCGCTCTACATTTGTCCATAAAAATTAAAAGTCATCTCGTGCGCTATTATACCCGATTCACAATCTCAGTCGGAGATTTATTTATTTTAAAATCTTTTTATTGTTTATATACTTAAAACAACAATAAACCCAAA